AGCTGCATACTATTGATTCATTTCCTGACTATGGAGAAGCAGAATGGGGTCTGCAAACAAAAGAAGATAGATCAAACAAGCTATATTCTTTAGCATCTAAATTAATTGAAAAGTCTTTTGATCTATCAGTAATTTCAACTACACCATCGACAATTCTGTCATCATCTTCACCAATGCCTTCTTCATCTCAACAAGTTTTATCTATGCCACATTCATCTCAGCTAGCTTCATCCATTGCACCGTCTTTATCTCAGCCAGTTTTGTCATCAACATCTTCATCTCAGCCAGCTTCGTCGTACCGTCTTTATCTCAGCCAGTTTTGTCATCAACATCTTCATCTCAGCCGGCTTCGTCAATATTATCTTCATCTCTGTCTGCTTCATCAATTTCTTTACCATCTCTAAAGCCCGACCGTACTTTAGAGTATGCAAAGAAAGTGCTAAGCCTTGGTATGCTTCATGTGGAATTGCAGGATTGATGGTGATGGTGATAGAGTTTTGAAGTGCTGGAGATACTTAATGAATAATTTTAAAGCTACAAGCCATAGAAACTACTCCTTAGAAGCGTTCAACACACTCTCTCATTACTGTTGGGTGCTTTTTCCCAAAGCAGCAATGCAGCTCAAGTACTCCTGATTTATTAATGTTCATGGGCATATGGTTCAAATGTTCCATGTCATTCACACATGAAGCATTTGAATAAATTTGTCAAGTTATGTGTGCATCATCTAGTTGCAAACAAAACATAGAGAAGTATCAAAAGAATTGGCAAAAGTATAGCCCAATTTATGAAGCACTCTGCATTTGATGATGAGAATGCAATTTCAAATGCATCTGGTAAACATTCAGTTCCACCAAAAAAAGATCAAAATGAAATAATAAAGGAACTAGTTCAAAATGACATATTTAAATTTAAACCAAGACAAGAACACAATCATTTGAAAGGTTTCTCCAGCAATGTTATGAAAAGTGCGGATTATTCAAGAACTATAACGTGGATGAAAGACATTTATTGTTAATGGTTATTATTATACTTATATTTTATTAGCAATACAAATATCTTTACACATAATACATACAAGACTATTATAATTATACAATTATACATTATTAAGACTATATCATTATGTCCTAATAAATTATAATAATTTACATGTAAGACATGTACAAACTCGTGAAGAAACATCACAACACAAGCAAGTGCCTACAATACTATCAGTAGGTATATACTATAGTTACCGCCATATCAAAGGCACCGCTGGGCTATATTCACCTGGCTGTAAGAACAACAAATTGTTATAGCTACTAATAACCCCACCCAAACTACATGTAGACTTCAATCAATTAAATTTACAATTCCATTGCATTAATCATAGTTACTTTACTTGTTATACATATTAATATTAAAAGTGCATTCAGTCAATCCTTGAAAGTTCATTTGCCTGAGAGGGCCAGATTCTTCTGTAACAGGCTTTGTGTCTTCAACCTTTATCTGTTTAGAATCATCTGTAGGCTTAGCATCCCCTTCATAAGTTGCTTCTGCTGGAGTACTAATGGTTTCACAAATCAATGAATCTGTTCTGAAGTTGTCCGTTCATAAGATCAAACAACTTCTCTTGAGAGATCACCCGACCTCTCCATTATGAGCTTTTTAGGAACTTTGGCACAATATATACGAGATATTGAGGTGGCACGCAACGAATGATTTGATATCCCATCATTTTCCAAATTTGCAAGAATAAGTATATCCTTCAATTTTCGGTCTAATGTATTATGCCCTACAAGGACTACACTAAACCAAGGCTTTTTAATTTCAAACTTTTGTGGAGGTCTACAATAGAAATTATTTGCCTGATAGAAGCTGGTGAATGTTTGGAA